AGTTGTCCGTGCATTTACAAAAACGTTGTAGTTTTTCTACCAGAAATGTTCAATAAGGCTTGCCCCTCCATTCACCAGAACCATGCAAATTTTACATAAGGAATTTTCAATTCAGCTTGCCCCTCCATGCAGCAGATTGTTTCAAATCTTGCACCAGAAATTTTCAATACAAGCTTGCCCCCAGGTAATTTTAAACCAAAAAATTTCAATTGACCTGAACGATGCAAATTTTCCACCGTTAATGTTCAATAAAAATTGCTTCTCCAATCTTCTGATTAGTGCAGATTTCCTTTTTCCATTTTCACCAGATGCTTTCAATATAGATTGCTTCTCCTACACGCAGAAAAAAAATATTTTAAACGTAATAATATTTGACATAAAATCAATAAGAATTTCATTTTGTTTTGGCTGCAAAAAGAAATCATTATTGTTTCAACAATCCAGTATTTTTGTTCCTCAAAACCCATGGATTGATAAATCAAAAAGAAAATCTTTTCGAATTTACAAGAGCTTTCATGGTTTTGACGTAAGCTGTCAAATTTGGCAGCAGGGTCAACAACAAAAATATGTTTGTTTTTAAAAAAGATTTCTTGTTGATTCAATCATATTTATTTTATGAAGTCGGACAATTCACCCAGTAGAAATAAAAATATGTTTATTGATTCAAAAATCCGGAGTGATTTAAGATTTGGGCGTAATTGCTTTTGAAAACAAACACGTCAATTACTGATTTCTCTTGAATATGTTGGGTCCAGGTGTGGCAGCTGCCTTCCTGGCGTCGGGAGCATTGGTACTCAGTACGGAAAACAAGATCGACGGAAAAAATCAAGGTAAAAAACAAAAAAATGATTATATTTATCAACTGCAGCTCGAACTGCAGCATTCTTACTTACCTCAAGTCTCAAATTTTGCACTTATTTCCCGAAATTCACAAGTTTTGTTATTGTTTACATTTTTGTCCGGGTGAAAACGAGGGAATGGTTGGTAGTTATTTTTGTGCTCATGGCCCGGGGAATGGACACAGCAAATAAATGCTAAATTTAAATTAACTATTGTTGGCGTAATAATAGAATATTGTTATTTTTCTAATAGTTGCAGTTAAAAAGTGGCTTATTAAAACAAAAAGAACCCTATTTTGAATTTATATGAATAAGTATCATTGAAACAACAAAATGCAATATAATTTCAACCGGAATTTTTTGTTTAAATACAACTAAAGCTTTTTTTTTTGGTTCAATGCAAACAATTTTCTATCCGTGTATCATCAGAATGTTGCAGGTTTTTCACTAAATAAAGATTGTCCCTATTTTTAGATTTTTCATCATAAATCTTCAGTAAAGCAACTTCCCTCCAATCATCAGAATAGTGCAAATTTTAAACCAAAAAATAATTTTTAAAATTTATTAGCAGAAGGATGCAAAATTAAGACCAAAAATTTTCCCAAAAGCTTGCCTATCCGTTCACCAGAACGGTGCTGATTTTCCACCAGAAATTTTCAATATAGCTTAATTTTAAATAAAGCTTGTGCCTTCATTTACCATACCAGTGCAGGTTTTCCACCAGAAATATTCTGTTCATTTCATTTATCAGAGCGATGCAAATTTTGCACCAGAAATTTTCAATAAAGCATGCTCCTCCAGTCGAAAGAACAGCTCGTGCGTGATAAAATCTTGCGCATTCATCACGAGAACAAGGATCTCTCGCATCGTTCCATCGCTAAAACGTTGGGAATCGCGAATTCCACGATGTCGCGAGTGATTAAGCGGTTCGAGGAACGGTTAACCACCGATCGGAAGCCCAGAAGTGAAGGAAAAAGTATTCCGTACAACACCAAAAATCACAACCGCGTAGTTGGGGCCTTCAACCGAAATCCGAACGCCTCCGTTAGGGATGTGGCTAAGAAGCTGCACCTAAGCCGAAGTTTTGTCTAGAAGGCCAAAACTAAGGCTGGGCTTCGAACGTTCAAGGTACAAAAGGCCCCTAATCGCGACGAGAAGCAGAACAAGTCCGCCAAAACCCGTGCCAGGAAGTTGTACCTCAACATGCTGACGAAAGTTGAATGCTGCATCATGGACGACGAAACATATGTGAAGGCCGACTTCAAACAGATCCCCGGCAACCTGTTTTTCACGGCCAAGGATAAGTTCAGCGTTCCGGAGCATGTCTGCACTCAGAAGATGTCCAAATTTGCGAAGAAATTCCTGGTTTGGCAAGCCATCTGCACGTGCGGGAAGCGGAGTGCACCTTTCGTGACCCAGGACACGATGAACGGACAGGTGTACATAAAAGAGTACCTCCAGAAGCGGCTGCTTCCTCTCCTGAAGGCCCACAACGTCCCAACAATCTTCTGGCCGGATTTGGCCTCATTCCACTACTCCAAGGACGTGCTGAAGTGGTATGCGGACAATAAGGTCAATTTCGTGCCGAAAATGTTCAACCCTCCCAACACTCCGGAGCTCCGCCCCATCGAGAAGTACTGGGCGATTATGAAGCAGCACCTTCTTAAACGACCTAAGGTAGTGAAGACAGTCGAGGAACTGAAGAAAGTATGGGTTTACATGCAAAAAACGGTTGATTCACAGGTTGTGCAGAATCTTATGGCCGGGGTTAAGGCCAAGGTGCGGGCATTTGCGTATGATATGTAAATAAAATACGAGTAAAATGGTAAAATGAAGCTTAATAGTTATTTCTCAATCCCTGAAAATTTGATGGCAATCGGATGAAAACTCGAATTTTGCGAATCAATTTTGTGTGTGGCAATTTCATCGTGGACACCCTTTATTGCAGCTCCAGTGACCCATTTCAGAATGCCTGGTAATTCACGACCACTCCGAGGTCACTTTTACTTACAATAAGCCCCGCATGTTCACTCTACCTTTATCAAATGGATAATGGTATCATAAACACACTTCCAGATTCAAAAAATATTATTTCCAAATCTGGCACGTATATAAGGGAAATGACGGCTTCGCCATGCCAGACTATTTTCGGCAACCCAAATTGAAACACTATTTTCACTGGATTTTCTTACGAAAACACTTCGCTGAATGCATGCAAACGATTCTTTATGCTTTCAGCTTCAATTTGACTATATTTTTACCACTGAGAAAAAGCAATCTAGCAGGATTTTCTTGAAATGAAACACACGCACTACAAATTGTAGCTGATTTCGAGTTGCCGATAATAGAACAGCAGATTTACATGCAGTTCAAATGGAACGGTTGCCGAAGAAAAACTGGTTGCCGACAATACTCGCTCTCACTAGAGAAGATTGGAGCTTTGTAAAAGCGTTTCAAAACAGTTTTTGACAATTCTTTCGACTGAAATTGTTAGAGCAGCTGGCAGCAAAAGATTGTAAACAAACCAATACTGCATATGTGTGCGTTCCTCAGAGAAAAAGGCTATAGAAAGAAGGTCACTGCTTAGATTGCCGAGAATACGTAAATTCCCCTAGTTTTGAAATTTGTTCAACTGTATTAAATCGATTTGAATGGACATTTCTTACCAATTTTGTTTCGAATACCTCTTGATTCATCTGCTGGCAGCACTTACTGGCCCTTACCGGCGACCAACTCGTCTGCCCGCAAAAGCAACAACGCCTAAATCTCAAAGCTCTCCGGACGTCCCCTCGAAAATGCAATCGAGAAATGTATAAGAACAATCTTCAACTGGAACGTACTCACCAAATCAATACATCCGGGAGCACATTCCCGATGCTTATTTTTATCTCGCATGTCCGTCGTCGTCGAACGGCAAAAAAAGGGAGCTCGGTGAGCAATTTTGTGGTACGGAATTTTCACTGAACATAAACCGCGAATTTACGAATTTCACCACTCCCAACCGCGAAACACGTTCAGAAGCACTTTTGGTACACTTTCGATCAATTTCTTTCGAAAACACAAAAAAAAGTTGCAAGCGAGCCAACATCAACACCCGAGTCTATACCGATTGTGCCGAACTCTTTCACGCACCTTGCAGCGCCTAAATAAACTGAAATTAAAAATTATCACTCGCGATGCCACTAATTTCTGGTCCGGGAGAAAATCAAAAAAAAAAAATCGACGCAATAAAAGGTTTTCAGTGCTCTTATATTATGAAATGAAATTATTTTACCGTCAAATCAAGATATCAAGAAAGTTATTTTATATCATAATTTTGTAATCGTGGAAATAAAAATCTTATATATAAAAGGTGGGGCAATTGACCCACCTTGCCCCACCCTGTGCACGCCAGTGGTAGCAAGTATTTAAATGTTGTGGATACCCGGGTACCCTTGTCGAGCTCCTAAAGGGTAAACAATTTCAGGACCCCCACCCCTCTTCGAAGCCTGCAATATGAAATCTTTCTTCATTAAAAGTTGTCTCTCTATGAGTTCTAAGATATCACTGAATTCTGGTTTCCTGTCGTGAAAATAACTGTATAATTTCTTAACTTGCAATCTGGAAAGGTATCCGGGTGCCCTGTCGATCACATAACGGTTAAGCACCCTTGTTCCCGTTTCGATTTTCCACACATAGGGGAAATGGCTCTAATGTTGGCCTATGGATCTAAGATTGGGCCCATCGTAAAAAATCTGCTATTTATCAATTTTATCTAGATGAACGCGTTATTGGGACCGCACTAATGGATATTGGTCGCTATTGAAAATTAAGTCGATTGCTGACTTTATGTATGGGCCCAAATTAGGGGCAGTTAGGTCGACATTACTTCCATTTCCCCTATATCACCTATATCCCCTATATATAGTTTTTTGTATTGTAAATACGATTCGATCGAAAACGGGAATAGGAATGTAAGATTTGATTGTTATCGGTTGAATACCTCTACTGTGGTAGTCCCTTTCCATATACTAAAGGACGCTTCAAAACAACTCATGAACAATATTGTGCTTACCACCACTGCTGTGAAGATCGAATGATACTTCAATACAGTATAGTCAACTTAGGTATTTAAATTTATAGCAACAAAAAACGAATTCCTATTCATCAAAAGCAGCAGTTTCGCCAAGTTCAACAATCATTATGGATGTGCCGAGAAAGGTTTCCTGCAGTCCACCCGGCTTGCAGTATCTCGCGACCGTCGATCAACTGCTGATACACCAACAGGTTGAACTTGTGGAAGTGCTAACGGGTTTTGAAACGGCCAATAAATATGCCATCAAGAATACCCTAGGTCAGCCAGTGTATTGGGCAGCAGAGGGTTCCGGCTGTTGCGCTCGGATCTGCTGTGGCTCAAGTCGTTCGTTTGACATGAAACTTTTCGACAACTTTCGCAATGAGATATTGCATCTTTCGCGGCCATTCCGTTGCGAGTCCTGTTGCTTCCCATGTTGCTTGCAAGCAATCGAGGTGGCTACTCCGCAGGGTACTCCCATTGGTATTGTCGAACAGGGCTGGTCCTTGTTGCGATCCTGGTTCCGTATTAGAAATGCAGCAGGTGATACGGTACTAACAATCAATGCACCATTTTGCAAGTCCAATTGTTTTGGCGATGTGAAGTTTAAGGTGAGAATCATTGAATAACGTTGAAAGCGTTGAAAGCTGTGCGGTCATGGAACTTTTCTTACAGATTTCTTCCAGCAAAGGTTTTGAGGTAGGAGCAATCCTCAAACAGTGGTCTGGATTGGTACGTGAAATGTATACCAGTGCCGACCATTATAGTGTGGTTTTCCCCCAAAATGTGAATGTTGAAGTAAAGGCAATTATACTAGCTGCGGTGTTTTTGATTGTGAGTTAAGGTAAGCTTGGATACGGATTGAAATACTAAGTTTTTCTGTTCCAGGATTACATGTTTTTCGAGAAATCTGGAGGAGTCGGAGATGTGGCTATAGGTTGCTGTGCCGCATTGGAAAACTGTGTTAATTGAAAACATGTAAAAGTGGTTTGAATCGTGTCATAGATAGACTTGCAATGTATATACAAATTATACAGTTATAAACATTTCTGCATTAACTAATGCATACCTATCTTATACATTTAAACTTACTGGAGAATTTTCATGAATACAATATACCAAACCACGTCTCAAGTGACTGCTCCGTGTGAGAGATGTTTGATTACTACAATATCCTTAATCGTCTTCTTTGAGTTCTCCCGGGATGCGGAAGGCTGTGCTCATGCACATCTACTTGACTCAGCTCATCTAGTTGACGTTGTTAGATCGCTGCCCTCCACTCTTGTCCATTTGTAATCAACTATTGATTTGGTCTTAACTGATTCATGTCGGTGATAACGGTTTTGATCACCTTCCAGTAACTTTAGAAATATCTCTACAAGTAATTTCTAAACTCAAACACAAATTACCATAGAACTGATTGGGACAATATTGAACATTTCTGGAATATAGCCAACCAAAGATGATGTTAATTATGATCTTGAATCTCTGAGTACCGTAAAACGGGGTAACATTGATAATTTTTTGAAGTATATTCTAAATATTTTTTAAATTAATTAATGTTTCTCAAATTTCTATTTTTTCAAAACAAGTACTGAGGATCCTAGAGTCAATTCGTTAGTAATATGTTTAATGAAACTTATTGCATTTGCACTATTTTTTAGTCTTGTGACCGAACATCAGTATTTTGATTTGGGGTTACTTTGATAATGCTCGATGAATATAGAAAAACATGCGTGAATCTCAAACAATTTAGTTAAATAAATATGAAACATTGATTGAGTATATAATCAGAAACACCATAAGCAATAATAAGACAACATTGAATTTGTGATGGCTATATCAGAAATACATTTCATAAGTGATGATTTGAGTACTACTTAAACTTAAACAGACAAAAAGCAAGAAAATTGTTTTTCAATATGTTTGGCAAACATGTAACACAAACTATATAAAAAAATATGCAATATCAAGGGAAATGCCCTAAGCTACAATTTGAAACCAATGTTTCTAATTCGGAAAAAAGGCAGATAGTAAATTAAATCATTATATTCTACTATTATAGCTACCCGCATTATCAAAGATACCCCGTTTTATGGTTCTTCAATAGTTAATTTCGATTCAATTATAATAGACGACAATCTTCAGCTCTTGATCCGTCTGAAAAATGTCTGTAAGAGGCAATATCAAAGAACATGATATCCATGTGTGATATCTGAAGGGATTTAAAAAACAAAATAAAAAGCGATTCTCTGCCCTGAGGAACAAACCTTTTAAAAATAATGTATCGAAATTAGACCCAAATTCTAAACCCTTTTGGAAGCTCACACAAATTTTGGAAAAAAAAACTCTCAAAAGCCTATTTCAACGCTTAAAGAAGGTGGTAAAATTTTGATCACAAATTCGGAAAAAGGTCAGAAACTTACTAAGTAGTTTGATAATTCCCATAATTTAAGTTTGGATCTTACTTGTCCTATTAAGAATCAGGTTGCTCGAGATTATCTGATATATAACTAAGAAACCAATTTCATTTCTTCATTATGATGGCTACCAAGCCTTTGGAAATTTTTCTTATTAGGGAGTTGTATAAATTTTGCTCCTTTAGTTTACTTAAATCTTTGGTTTTTATTAATTAGGTAAATTCCGATTCTACACGTTGTAGTTTCATTTTCATACCTGTGATCTTGACATTTTTACCTAGGGGATGAGTAGGCGGTTAGATTTCGATAAGTTCTTTAGTGGGAATGACACTGAAATACTGCACATTGTAGTCGATATACATATCGGTCATGGATACCAAAATTAATTAAGTGGAATTAAATGGAATATAACCCTTTTTTGCTGTTTTATTCAATCGTTCCACTGACAACCCAATTTCATTACTTCATTAAATTTAACCACTTTATGGGGTGGCTTTCTCAGTCTTTTAGTAGAAACGATTATTTTTTTTACGTTCCCAGGGAACGTAAAAAAATAATCGTTTCTACTAAAAGACTGAGAAAGCCACCCCATAAAGTGATTCCAATCAACCAGTCGAAACCACCATTAGCATTAAATTTAACGCCAAGAAATTGCTTGCCGGTAAAACCATAGAGGTAACTCTAAGACCAGAAGGTCCCGAAGAAACGTGCTCAACTTTTTGACTCAACTCTGGTACTCTCTTCGGTCCCAAACTAATCGATGCACCCCTCGAAACATAGGAAAATCCACGAACCCCTCATTTTATTTGTCAAACTTTAATGGCAAATCTAAACAAACAACATTAGAATTTCGACTAGAATAGGGAACGTTAATCGATTTGCTTGGGACCAATAGGCTAGTCAAGTAGTGAGCCAGTTTAAAATCATCAGATTCCACCGGTTGGTGAAACCATTAACAGAAGAGCTTGAAGAAGGACACCCTAGCTTAACTTGCATAAATTCACTAAATCAGGACTTAAGTAGGTATCAAAGTATAAATCACAATTAATGGGTGCTCTTGGCAGAAGAAAAGGAAAAAATAAAGCTCAAGCTGGAGAGATTTATAAAGAAGAAAATAGCGGAATTTCAGATGGAGAGTCTTGAGAGAATGAAAGCAAAAATTGACAGGATATGTAAACAATGGAAAAGAAAAAAGTAATTACTCAGGGATGCTATGGATTTCACTTATCTGTTACATGGTACATTTTGAATTACATTTCACTTTCGGTTAATTAAAAACAAAGTAGAAAATAGCTTGAGCTTGAGCTTGAGCTTGATTGACCGCCCACGGTTGCTACTCTGTTATTGCCAGATCAGCTGTAATTACACAGAGAACCAATAGACGATGCTTGGGACTAGCGATCATCCTCAATGTGTAAAAACTGGTGATCTTATATTAGGCAATACCAGCGCCGGCCGCGCCCGAACACAGGTCAAGGAAGGAATGGGAAGGATTGTGTTGACATGACACTCGCTTTGATGGAAGCCGAGAACACCTCTGCACTTCCACGAGGAATCACTGGGATGTTGGATAAGAGGGTTGGGTTTGCAGCAGGGTTCGTTTTGGTAAACGGTAAGCTGAATTGATGTCCTAACGATCATATAACGCGAAGGAGCTTGGGACTAAACCCACGGTCTTCTGCTCAGTAAGCAAAAACGTTTGCCACTAGACAGACGAGCACCTTTTTAATCACCGAGTTGCTGTTATTACCATGTAGTCATATTAACAAATAAAACGATTGACGAATCTTGAATGTGGATGGGCCTGAGATTAGACTCATGATGTTCTGCTCAGTAAGCAAAAACGGTTGCTCTAAGGCCACCGAGCCCCTCATATCACATAATACCGTTGCTCAAATTTTTGTATCCATTCAAACCCGGAACCAACGACAACAACGAGTTTCGCAAAATACACGATACACAAGCGATTTTACCATAAATCTCTTTGATATGTAAGGACCTGGGACCGCGTTTTTCTTCTCAGTAAGCAGGCCACTGTAACCGACAATCTTTCAAATCCGAAAACTAAAAACTACGAAAAAGTACTTAGATGTTGTTTTGCTGTAAAGAAAGAAACAGAACTATACGAAATTACACCTGCTGAAAAAAAGATAAGTCTATTATTTTAGTTAGGGATCGTTTGGATTTGGGTCACCCCACGTTGTGTTTAGGTTGGTATAAATAAATAATACTATATAGTCATATAAATCACCACAGCGCATTATCTTCAGCTCATCTCTCATCGTGATGGTGGGACATAGTAGACAAATTAGAGAGAAAACAAGGAGGTATTAGTATTAGTTATATGTAAACAAACAAAACAAAAGAAGAGAAGAGGAAAGAAGAGCAGAAAAATAAAAAGGGGGATAAAGTAGATAACAAAGAAAAGAAACGTAGGCAGATTATTAGAAAAGGCATTATCCGAGACCTCAATCAAATGTCACTCCCGCCAAGATCTCAGCGAAACCCTCCCCGCCGAGACCCGCACAGCCGAGCTTGGTAGAAAAAACTTAGTGTGTAGATAGATTAGAAGGAAAATAAATAAAACTACTTGATGACTCAAAGTGCAATGAATGAGCGTTAGTTTCGGGATCATTTCAGTGTTAGAGTTATGTTAGTTTTGATCCGTAATCAGCCCTGCCGACCCCTCCAACATTAGTTGCAGGCAGTGGTTGTTAGATAATGCGGCACTGTAACTACTACTATTTTAGAGGTATGATTCGTCAAGTTTATACAACTCAATGTTACAATTGAGGCAAACTATCTATCTTACAATTACAAAAGCAAACCTAAACTTACAATTATATGCAAATGCAAAATGAAACTTGACAAATCATCGTCAATCCCCTTATTCCAGGGCCTGACGATTTGAATCTAATTTTGATCAGTGAACGGGCACCATATGGTACATTTTCTCACCATGAACCTATCATTTCCAGCCTATCTGAACTATTTAATAAATGGAAGCCATAACATGGGTTACGCTCCCCCTAAGCGGGCCCTCCGCATCCTGTCTCTGTCTTATCTCAAATACAAAATGCCAATGGTATGAATGTATCTATATAGGGGAATTTACGTATTCTCGGCAATCTAAGCAGCGACCTTCTTTCTATAGCCTTTTTCTCTGAGGAACGCACACATATGCAGTATTGGTTTGTTTACAATCTTTTGCTGCCAGCTGCTCTAACAATTTCAGTCGAAAGAATTGTCAAAAACTGTTTTGAAACGCTTTTACAAAGCTCCAATCTTCTCTAGTGAGAACGAGTATTGTCGGCAACCAGTTTTTCTTCGGCAACCGTTCCATTTGAACTGCATGTAAATCTGCTGTTCTATTATCGGCAACTCGAAATCAGCTACAATTTGTAGTGCGTGTGTTTCATTTCAAGAAAACCTTGCTAGATTGCTTTTTCTCAGTGGTAAAAATATAGTCAAATTGAAGCTGAAAGCATAAAGAATCGTTTGCATGCATTCAGCGAAGTGTTTTCGTAAGAAAATCCAGTGAAAATAGTGTTTCAATTTGGGTTGCCGAAAATAGTCTGGCATGCCGAAGCCGTCATTTCCCCTATAACTTGGAAATGACATACAATCAAATAAACCCGTAACCCACTCACTTGGTCAGGCTTCAGAATCGTCCAGTGGGCAGTGCGCTCTACACTCCAAGTTCCCTTTTTTTCAAATTT